TCTCTCTCTCTCTCTCTCCACCCACTTACATCACTCTGTTTTGTACATCTCATTATTTTACCCAGACTTCACCGCTCTAGCCAAACCAGTCCACACAAAATGCAGTTATTCAGATATGTACTCATCTTTAGGCTGATTTTCCTAACAAACTTAATTCCCAAGCATTACATCTGATTGCTTTGTCCTCCTTCCTGTTTTGAAGATCATTGCTCATCAACAGTCGCAAAGAGTGACACGAATCTCTGGGAAAGATGCAGCATTAGTCATGAGTTTGAGCAAATTAGATGCAGCTAAATGTAAAGCAGGTCAGCGGCGAGAGAATCATCAGAGTTTCGTATCTATGCCAGAACGTACCGTGCCAGTGCCCCTTTAAACATCAAATGCTCAGCCTCTAACAAGTTGGCAACCTGGATTAATGAGCGGGGTGCAGATGCTATTATTCTCAACCTCTCCGACCATTTCAGCGCACACAGGCTGAATTATAATATTTTATCCCTCTCTCTCTTTAAATCCAATTAGCTGAAAGAAAGTGCTTTGTGGCACCACGCTGTATCAATTATTCATTCCAGTTTTTACACCCAATCCATGCGGGTTCCTGCGCATATTAAACAGAGGGAAAGGCGCATCCCTGCCAGATGTGCTGATCCTGGTCATTTTCATATGGTGCCTCTCTAGAGAAACGCAGCCCCAACACGCCAGCTCACTGCACGCAGACATCAACATCGACTGCCCAGGAAATGCTGGATCCATAATGCTTACTGGCAACATAGAGCGCACATCACAACCGTACTACGGTGTGATCTGAATCAAAAGAGACGGGTTGTTGCTGTAGTCGGTGGCGCAGTCTAAATTTGCTTCTTCAAATTTTCAAAAAACTTTGTGCTGGTCAGTACCTAGGTCATTCCTGGCATGCAGCACCTTTTGAACTCAACTGTTAAAAAATGTATAATTTCACAGATTTTGAACCAGCTTTAGATTGTGTTGGTAGTATATGTAATTTAACCACTTGTTTGTTACCTGCGAGGGAATTTTCCAGGGAAGGCTGATGTCTCGCTGATATCTATAAAAAAAAAACTAAAAAAAAACACCTTTCACATTGCAGTATAATTTTTCCAATATCCAAGATTTCCTATCATCATTTGAATACCCATTCTGACTGGTCT